CAGAAAGGAAAGTTAAAAAGTTTGTTCATTCGTTATATAATAATGTTCAAAAATATGATAACTCAGTATGTGGTAAATATATTGACCCTTCAGAAGTTTTCAGAAAGCAAATGAAGAAGTTGATGTCACTTTTGATATGATTATTCCGGTAAATGATTTGTTAGCATTTCAGGCGTTCGATGATTATCCTAAATCATTTGGTGAATCATTCTTAAATATTATGTTTTCAGGGATACTTTAGTATTTTGTCAGGTTGACCCGTTAAGAGTTGCTGATTTACAAAATTACGTTTATGAAAAGATAACTGATGAAAATTATGAAAAGATTATGAATCATGTTTATAAATATGATCGCAAATTCCAACAAATCGGACTTCCTGCCAAATTAATTACAAGCTTAGCCGCTACATCTGCTGACGCAACAGTTGATGACGTTATTATTTCATGCACAAAGATGGAAGTTTTAGAGGATAAATGCATTACACCAGGATACGGTTTAATTGAAGAATCAGTTAAAGCAATACCACGTTTATTCAGTAAGGAAGATCCATTCATGATTCCAGCTCAACATATTGACGTTCGTTCACTAAATGGAGGTTGCATCACTCCTGAAGGTATTAGCTCAGATTTCTCATACGCTCTTCATAATGTTACAGATGTTGTGTTAACATTTCCGAAGAATGCAATGCAAAGAACAGTTTTAGAAAATCCAATGCTTCGAGGTCTTCAGGTCACTATAGATTCCAGAAACTTCCCCGATCAAGCGATGACCACAGTGGGTGACATATTCTTTACACGTATGCTTCAAGCTTCTGATTTAGATGGAGTGAATGAATGCGGAAGAATACGAGGACTCATTAACTAGACCACTGAATGAGATGATGGCACGCCATTAGCTAGAACATGGAAAGACCAAACTTCATTCTTATGCACTATTCCAGTTCAACGTGATGGAGCGGGTATATTCTTTGATGGATTAGAAACTTTCAACTCACAAGTTACAGTACAAGTGAAAGCTTATCCAATCATTCAGGGTGAAAATGACACTTACTGTTCAAAGGTGACAAATCCTCCTCAGGTTTGGTTTACTAGGACTACGTATTGGACATGGACACCGGATGAAGGTTTGAAATATCATCCAACAGGTACACCACCACAGTATAGAAGTTCATATGATGAAATATTGATGAATAGAAATGTTTAAAATTATAAATTTATTTTTGATTAAATGGATTTAAATTCATCCACCCCTTATGAAGAATTAGCGGAGTATATAATACATACGTAGATGATATGATTAATGAAGCATTGAGTGATAATAGAAATGCTCTATCTAAGGAAAAATTAATGAAAATTCCATATTCTGAATGTTACTTAAATTCAATCACTGCAGCAATTGGTAAACAGAATAAAGGTAAAACATTAACGATATTAAAACAAATTATCATTATTGCTAACACTTCCCCCTATTCACATGTGTTAATTTATATCAACCGTTCAGGTTCACCTTCAGATGATACATTTGAATCTTTAAAGCATTTAATCAAAATTCCAATTATTTATTTATCACAAGAAGAAGCAGAAGATTATTTAAAAAACTTTTTAATGTATAAAGAATTATATAATACAATCAAGAAGCAAGGATTAGAGGATAAAATTATTGATAAACAACGGGATGAATTATTTGAAACACTTTCTATTTCAAATTTTGATAGAGAATTTTTGCATTCACTCATTTTTCTAGATGATGCGTGAAATCAAAACTAATAACAAATGAGAAATCATATTTTAATCAGTTATTAACTCAATGTCGACACATTCAGTGTTCATTCTTTATGGCTGTTCAATATTTCAAAGCATTAAGCACAAACATTAAATCAAATCTATCAACCCTTTTCATTTTCAGTGGGTTTAGTCGTCAACAGTTGAACGTTATGCTTTATCAAGTGAATTTACCAATGAGCATTAATGAACTTTACACACAATATCAGCAATTAGGTGAACATGGAAAAATAATAGTTGATTTAAATAAAGGAAGTGTTAAATTTGATTAACTTTTTATAATTAATTTTTATTTTTTATTTATAATTAAACATGACAGAAATAGCAAATCTTCTACAGGTTCCATTAAAACAAGGGACAAACAAAAAGGGTGCATATAATAGAACTATGAAAGTTCCTGATGGAATGAAAGAATTAGTTCATATTGTTGCGGTCTTCAAAAGATGTTAAACAAATGAGAAACGTTTTAACATTACCAGAAGCTCAAGCATATGCCAAACGTCATGGACCAAATTGGGAAGCACATGAAGCAGACATTACAGGACCAAATGGAAAACCTGATGGTATAAATGAAGTTTTGTTACTGATGGTCAAGGAAATATTAAAGTCATAAATGGTATAAATTAACAATGACGGATTATCCTAAACGTAAAGCATATAATGAACGTTATCCTATGCAATTTGATGAAAATGGAAAAGCTGTTAAACAACATATCGGAGACAGTAAAGATGGACCAATTCTTTCATACCGTCATAATCCATATTCTTATTTCAATGAAGAATTAAACGCTATTGAAGAAGGACCAAACGGATTACCTCAATATGTTAATCAGTTTGATGGTCAATATGCAAATTTGAGACCTGAAATTCCAGCTAAGAAATTCTTTAAAGTTGCTTTATTCGATCCACTGTTCAATGAACAGAAAGAAGCAATGAAAGCAGAATTTAAACCAATTCAAGTGGCAAGAATTTCTTCATCTTCACTTTCAGAAGCGTTCAAGGAATTGATAAAGAAACCACTTTATTCTCAACAAGGTTATAACTTTGATTTAATTAAAGAAAGTGATAGACGTAAATTAGAAAAATCAGATGGTTTTAAGAATGCATGTAATGAAATGATTAAAGATATTGTAAATGATAAAATAAGACTGGAAGAAACTCAAATCATTATCAATAACATAATTGGTGCAGTTACAAAGAAAGTATAAGCAAACAAGGATGAACCTTGGGATATTACCGTAACAACTAAATAAAACTTTAAATATATTTTTCTTTTTTTATTCAATTATAAATGAGAAGACGTTTCACAAGTCAAAAGAACACAAACGCAAAAGCAGAGATTACGGTTGGTTATAACGTAAATGATGATAAATCACGAATTATTCAAAATGTTAAAGTTAATGTTAGTCCTGAATTAACAAGGTCAGCAACACAGTCCAATTTATTAACTCGTGACTTACCAAAGAAAGAGGAGGAGCAAAATAAAGAAGATGAAGACCCAATCATTTTATCTGAACCCGGTAAAGAACCCGTTGAAATCCCCACATATCCAACATACCCCCCACCTCTTTCATCAAACATCGAGAACCCAGGAATCTACGATTCCAGTCGCAATGCGCCATATAAAGTAGACATTAATTCTGAATTAATGAAAATTTACCGTGATATAATAATTAATAATTATGATTCAATAATAAATTTAATTGACCAATCTGGTTTAATTATTTTACCTTATGAATCATTAATTCACATTATCGCCATTCTTTGTGATGTTCAAGATTCAGACGTTAAGATTCAATTTTTCATAGATGATGAGGTTTCATGCTGCGGAACAGTTGCAAAAATAAATCCTATAAAGGATATTAGCACAATTAAGATATCAAAGAACGGAGCAACAACTGAACTACATTTAACTTATAATAACATATACAATAAAATAGTTGATGAATATAAAATATCACTTGAAAAATTCTTTGTTAAGGCTATTTAATATTCAAGCATTAACATTATCGAATAATAATCCTTTGAATCATAATCAATAATAATTGACCTTTCACCAGTTTCTATCGTTTGTTTTATTTCTTTTTGTTCCCCACTATCCGGATCGGTCATTGTAATTGTTTTTGTTATAGTATCAGCTTTATCTTTAACTTCAATCTTTTTTCCATCGGGATATTTAAACCAAAATTCCAAAAATTCGATATTGTCAATCTGTTCATATTTTAATCTATCAATTACATTTTTAATACCATCTGAAAATCTTATGAAATGGTCATTATATGGGTTTGATTGAACTAAATTTGAATGAAGTGAAATATAACCTGTTGATGAATATGACACTGACTCATATTTTCTGAAAACACTAAAATTTATAACATGAATGAATTTCTTATTCGTTGAATTTATGAATTCTTGAGGTAATCTTATTCTAGTTTTATTTATCACTGGAAAATAACGCTTTACCATATTTTTAATCGTAATAAAAATGTCAATTATCAATATTATTTCGAATAATAACTGTGAATTAAATTTAACAGTTAGCGGAATTTATAATGTTACTCTCGTTTCTGTGAGTGGTAAATTTAATCCCATTCTTTTAGACCCTTCAGATTATATATCATTTATTAAAGATGACCATGAAAAAACGTATGATATGTATATAAATAATGTGATAGCGAAATGGGATATTAACATGATTTTAAGTTATTTAAATGAATCATTTATCGTATGGTATGAAGAAAATTTTAAATCAAAACCTGATAAACTTTTTGAACTTGATGAAATAAATAACCTTATTAAATTCCCGCTGAAAATTAAATTTTGTACTCCTCATCTTCGTTCATTGTTGGGGATATTAAATTTTGAAAAAGATGTTGGGGATGTTTTGTATTCTGACACTGGTTCCAATTTCATTTTAATCAAATGTGATAAAGTTAATACCCCAATGAGATTTTCACATCAAACATTAGACCCTAACTCTTACCCATCAATACAAAACATTTTATCCATCAACTTAAACACATTTTCTTTATCATATCCGTTTCAATTATCCGGGAATTCATTTATTCTTCATTCAAAAGATTTATCAAATATTAAATTTAGAATAACTGACCTATTTGATTGTGATTTAGAATTCATGAATGAAATATTATGGCAATTTCAAATAGAAAAATAGCTGATGAGATAACAGATTAAATATTTATTTTTAAATCATAATAAATGATTAAACAACAGCAACCACAACAACTTAAGGCACAAAGCACCCAGGTCCCTCAGACCATTACATACGCCATATATGCATATAATTCAAAGACGGCAGAACAAACGCAAAGGTTGAAATATGGAGATTTGGAGATAGTATTGAAAAATGACCATTTCGAATTCGTTTGCAAAGGTGGTGCAGTGATATCAAATATAAAAGAAATTTTATTTATGAATTCAAAAATTAAAGGTATAACGGATGATATAACATCAATTCCACCAGAAGAACAGAGATATTACGCATTAAATGCATTTCCTAAAGTTTTGAAGATTGGAAGATTTAATTTAAATGAGGAATTCATAGAAGGTTTCCTAAACGACATAATGAAGAAGGTGGATAAGGAATATGTGGCTAGTGAGTTAATGAAGAAGGCAGATAAGGAATATGTGGATGAAAAAGATAATGAAATTAAAGAAAGGGTTGAATGGTATCATGAATGGACATCGAAGATTTTTAAAACTAAAGCTGATACAGGATGGGTTTCAGGATGTTTAGACCTTAAAGCGGATAAGAACCATACACATAACTTCTTCTCAACTGTTGCTATAGAAAGTATTGAAGGAACGGTTGACGGAACTGATGGGGATGCATTATATTATAATCCTCCTAACTTTCCACAAGGTTTAACATCGAATGAAAACATAACAACGATGAAAAAAAATTAAATGTAAAAATGTTTATGTCATGGATGATGAAAATAAAGTTAAATTCACTGCTCAAGATTTATATGATAAGAAAGCAGACAAAACAGAGCTTCAAACATTAAAGACTGAAATTCTTCAAACATTATATCCTGTTGGTTCTATTTATACATCAATGAACTCAACAAATCCTTCAGAAGTTTTAGGTTTTGGTATGTGGAAGCAGATTGTAGATAAATTCTTATACTGTGCTAGATATTCAAAGCAAACAGGAGGTTCGAAGAAAATTAAAGAAGCAAACTTACCCCCGCACACTCATACAGGAACTACAAACTTTTCTGGCGACCATAGCCACTCATTAAGAGACCACCCATTATACAACTCAGAATATGAAGCTGGCTATGATGTTTTATCTCCAGATTATAACCATTCAGCAAAAAAGACTTTTCGACCAACTGAACCAGGAGGAAATCATGTCCATACTTTCACAACAAATCCAACAGGTTCAGGTAAAGATTATATGCCACCATTTGTGACTGTATTTGCATGGTACCGTGTTCAATGAATGAACTAAATATATTTTATGTCTGTAATTAATTAGGTAATGAAGTAATGGATGAACTGCAGAAATAAATGTTTACGTTAATGATTACGTTAAGTGACTCAAAGAGTCCGGAGACAAAGTCTCATGATTTAGGTCATTCAATAATTAATTATTTTTGAATAACTGAAGGTGTCACCACGTCACCATGTGTCACCAGGTTAATTAACTTCTTTAAAAAAGTGTGACAACATGACATTTTGACAACAGTTCAGGAGGAAGGCATTTATGAATTTTCATGTATTTTCTCAAGATAGAAAAATAGCGTTAGTTTTATTTTTTCTAACTTTTTATTTTGTATGTAAGAACAGTAATGTCGGTCGAAGCAAAAACATTCACTAACAAATCTAATGGTGAAACATTCACAAAAGGCACTTATAACGGTATTGAAGTCTTACGTAGAGACAAGGATGGTTACATTAATGCAACAAATATGTGTCAGCAGTTTAGGAAAGACTTTAGAAAGTTGTTGGAAAATAAGTCCTGGGAAGAGTATTATAAGGCATTTTGTGAAGAATATAGCAACCGTCGGAATTCAGACGGTTGCTTTTTATACAAAATTCATGCAGGAATTCCTGATGAAATCAAACAGGTTAGAGGAACGTATGTAGACCCAAGACTTATAAACTATATAGCAATGTGGGCTTCTCCAAAATATTGCATAGCAGTTGGAAAAATTATGGATTCCATAGACAAGAAAGTTCATGAGAAGTTAGATGAAGAAGAACTCGAAGATACAGTAGAGAATGCTAAACCTTTGTTTGAAGAAGAAGTTAGAAAAATGTGCGAAAAACGATTAGAACATGAACGTGAGATATGTTATGGTTATAGAGATTCTCCATACGAACTAGACCAATGGGAACAAGAAAATTTAAAGAGAGAATTTAGAGAATATGAACTCGCTAAGATAGCATTAGAAGCTGCAGAAAAGAAGTTAAAAGCTTGGGGTCGTTTTGTAAAAAAATATTGTGAGTAAATGAACCATTTATTTTTGTCATAAACGACCAAAAATATATTTTATCGTTAATGTTTACGTTAATGGTTTCAGGTTATTCAATAATTAATTATTTTTGAAGAACTGAAGGTGCTACCATGTTACCATGTGCTACCAGGTCATTTAACTTCTTTTAAAAATGATGACAACATGACATTTTGACAACAACACAGGAAATATGATGCAGTCCAAAAATAAAGTTAGTTTTAAAATTATTTTTATTTTTTTATTCCTATATAAATGACAGCAACAAACAACAGGAACTATATCGTTTCTGATGAAAAAGTTATTGATTCATTAGCTGAGGAATTAGTTGTGGCAGAAACTAAAACCCTCAACGAAAGAATTGGTGAAAACAAGATTGATTTACATAACTACCTCAAACATGATGGAGGAAGAGGAAGGAAAACTGGTATGGCTTTATTAGTAAATAAAATTTCAAATTTAACGATTATAGATGTTGATATCAATAAATCATACAATGATGAACTTAAAGAAACAGTTAGAAAAGACATTTTATCAAAACTTTCGGATAAAGATGTTATCGTTAAAACCGCTTCAGGAGGTCTTCACATTTATTGCAACACTAATTTCTTCTATTCAACCTCGAACAGAATGATTAAATGTTATTCTTGCAATGATTATGATATTGACATAATGACTTCTATGGATGATTCAAAGCGTTCATTAGTAGTTATGGCTGATTCAAGAGTTCGCAAGAATGCAACAGAACCAATCAATACATACTCATTCATTCGTGGAAGTTATGATTCAACATTAACTAGAACAGTGAATGATATATTAAATGATTTGAATATTAAGGTAAGAGTTGAACAGAAGAACGAAGAAATAAAGACTATCATGAATGAAAACAAAGATGTAAACATTGACGATAAACTTGCCCAGAGCATAGTTGATGGCATCTGTGATTTTGAAGTACATAATGACGGTGGAAACATGAATTTAGAAAAAGAAGTTACATTATTCACACTGTTTCAAGCAATTAATTCGTTACCTAATCATTTAATTAATGAAGCATACGATAACGTTTATAATTTCTGCAATTTAACTGAAAATGCAAAAAGTAATTTTGAAAAAGCACGTAGTAGATATGCACATTTAATGACTTCTCCATTTGTTTTGGTGAAGATTCTAAAACTTTATCAAAAGGAATATTATGATGAATATGTTTTGCCTTTATTACGTAAGCCAAAAATAACATTTGATATAAAACTTGATGACTCGTTTTTGATAACAGATATTAGACGCAAGGCTGAAAATCATCAGTATAAAAACAGTTCTGAAGTAATTGAGGATTTATCACGTGTAATCCGTTTTGTAGATTGTGGAAATAAATACTTCATTCAGAAAGATTACAACATACACGACAAAATGAATCAAATATCATTCGTTCTTCAGTCAAACATGAAAGAGTCACTCAAAATGATTAAATTAATTAAAGAAGAAGGTAAAACCATAACAGCATGGGACGTACTATTAAATCAATTATCCTCATTAACCGTTAAGGGTGTTTGCTTTAAATCTGATTCCCCAGATGTTTTCTCAACGTTTCAAGGTTATAAATACAACGTTCTCGAAAAGCCTGATTACTCAAAAATTGAGATGTTTATGAATTTCATTAAAGAAGCCATATGTGATAATAACGATGAAGTGTATAAATACCTTCTCGGCTGGATTGCATCAATGATTCAACATCCTGGAATCAAGAATGAAACAGCAATTATTTTGAAAGGACTTCAGGGAACAGGTAAAAACAGATTTACAGACATTATTTCTGAACTCCTTGCTGGTTATTCATGTAAAAATATTACTGAAATAAGTGAGCTAACGGGTAATTTCAACTCAGTAGTTGAGAATAAAATGTTTCTTGTACTTAATGAACTCAAGAATGTTGGTGAAGACAGACTCGCAAACTTCAACGCTTTGAAATCAATTATTACGGATAATGAGATTAGAATTAATGAAAAGAATCAACCCAGAAGAACTGCTCAGAATGTTGCTAATTTCATTTTCGTAACTAACAACGTCTACCCTGTCAAAATTGAAGTTGGAGACAGAAGATACGTAGTTTTAAGAGTTAATGGTAAATTTAAGGGTCAATTTGATTACTTCAAGAATTTGATGAATTCATGCACAAAGGAATTTTATGATAACCTTTTAACATATTTTATCAATTACGACCTTTCATCATTTAATGTACGAATCATACCGATGACTGAAGCCAAACAAGATTTAATCGAGTTATCAACAAATCTTTTAGATGAATGGATAAATACACATTATGATGAATTGAGTGCAGGTATGACATGTAAAAATGCTCTATTCTGCAAACCATCAGACATGAAAGACAAGAATTTCCAAATGAGTATTAAGGATAAATGTGATAGGAAACAGAGAAGAATAGATGGTAAACAAGCATGGTGTTATGTTTTGAAAGAAGAAATGAAAGGATTATATAAACAGGTTGAACCAAACGATAATGAGGATTCATTTACTGACGATGAAATACCTGTAAATGATGCTTTATAAAGTATGATTTGAATTTATTTTTGCATTAATCCTGCTGTGTTGTCAAAATGTCATGTTGTCTCATTTTTTTCAGAGAAGTTAATTAACCGAGTGACACATGGTGACGTAGTGACACCTTCAGTTATTCAAAAATAATTCATAAATGCCTTCCTCATTAATCCTGCTGTGTTGTCAAAATGTCATGTTGTCTCATTTTTTCAGAGAAGTTAATTAACCGAGTGACACATGGTGACGTAGTGACACCTTCAGTTATTCAAAAATAATTAATTATTGAATAACCTGAAACCATTAATGAAAACATTATTTTGGGTCATTTACACTCATTACGATGAAGTCATGACAAATCATTTCCGGGACTGTTGTCAAAATGTCATGTTGTCACAAACTTTAGAACGGCATAATTTAAATTTTTATTTTTATCATAAATGGATACCCCACAAGCTCAAAATTTACCACGAATCATAACAAGGGAGGAAACGATAAAAATGATGCGAGAACTTGCTAAAAATAACAAACCACTAAAACTGAGAAAATGTGGTTATGCAGTAATGATGGAAAGAGAGACGTTGTCGAAGAAAAATAAAAATTAAATTTGGATTGAGTTTAAAAATTCATCTTTATTAAATTCATCTCTTCCAATCAATTTATTTATTCTATTAAATTCTTTTATTTTTGCTTCACTCAGTTTAAGGATTGAACGGTAAGTTTCTAATTTTTCGATTATTTCTTTCCTCTCTTTATCGTTTTCAACCCCACCGCATTGCGGCTTCTTTTTGTAATAGCATATTTTTGATTTAATTCTGTTTAGTTTCTTTTTATATTCATCGTCTGGACTCTTGACTGCTTTGTTGTCACTCATTTCTTACGAAATAAAAAAATTAAATATTATTTAAATATAATGGAGTAATAAATAAATCGGAATTTCTATTAATTTATTGTCAACTTCAACTAATGCATTGCCGTTAATATATCTAACAAATTCAGCTATTGTGTCAAATCTTCGTCTTCTTTTTGTCATTGATTTATCAGTTTTTCCATAATCGAGATGAATTAAAACTTTATTTCCTTGTTTAAAATTCATGAGCCCGAATTAATTTGTTCACGTTTTAACATCATTTAACTTTTCCATTTGCTTTCTAATATATTCCCATTCTTTTGAAATATCATTTTTCATTTCCACCGGTTTCATGTTTATAGTTCTATGCCATGTATTATTGTAATAATATACTAACTGTGTATGATGGAGTCATGATTTCCATCCCAGTATATCTGACCGTTAACCCCTAACGCATCTCTAAGAGTTCTCATTACCGCATCAACTATTTTATTATGAAACGTATATGGAGAGGATGAGAAGAAAAAATTAATTTGTGGGAAATAATGAGTCATAGCTGCCTGAAATCCTTATCACCTCACCCCT